GTACCTGCATGTTATTTTCCATCTGAAAAAAAAAAAAAAGATGTTTCTCATTTTGAGGCTCTAAGTTTGTTAGAATCTGAATCAGCGTTACATTTTGTGCACTGTGGTATGTAGCTGCATGCTACACTAATCTCTTAGCCGAACCCCATGCATTATTGTGAGAGCAAAGAATAAATAACATGATATTAGAAGCTGTTCAAAACCTGACTGAGCCAAAATGCAAGCCTTTCCTTTTCTCTCCAGTTTGGAAAAAAAAAAAAAATAGGGAGCACTGGGGGTCAAACAGAAGATTTATTTCAGAGCATGACTAAATTTCTTTGGGTTTGTTTTCTTCTTCCAAGTTTTTAAAAATTGTAACTAAGGGCATTTTTAAATTAAATATTTCTGGAAGATGAAAACCAAAAAGATGACATTCAGAAAACTTTGAAGACATAAAGCAATTGAATTTTTTGGAAGGGGCTATGTGTAGAAGTCTTTGTGTTCCAAATAGATTGTAATCAAGTTTTAACTCAAGTGAACATATTTGACAAAAACTCACACCTTGACTTCTTCAAATTATGACCAATTTTAGCAGAAACCCAAGATTTTTATTATATGATATGATAGTGTAATATTTTGGGGGGCTGGCAAGGCAGAAGCAATAAAAACCATGCGGGCAAATGAAATAATCAAAGTAAATTCTATTCTTTTCCCATAAATTTGAAGTTTTAGTTCTGAGAAAATGTCTTTCTTGGTATTGTTGCACACTGATCAAGAGAGATCTGGCTTGCTGTTGTGGTTATAAATGAGCCAGAGGTACTGTTCTGCAGGGTCCTTATCGAAAGGTCATTTGCAGGAACTATGTATTTTACATACAAGGGTATGCTGCCACTGTAGTTATCCACTATATAGTGGAAGTGGTTGCATGACACATAGTGAGAACTGACCCAGAGAAGCTCTTGGTTCTCTGTGGGTTGTTTTTATATCCTTGTAGCTCCAGTGTGCACAAACCATTATTTAAACACTGGTTCATTTTTATTTTGCTCTCTGTGCAACAATGTTGTTGCCCTGAGAATTGCTTCCACATGTGCAAGCTCGATATAGGCTTGTCATCCTGTTTTCACTGGAAAGCAACCACTTCCTAAATGCTCTGTGACTTGGGCTGGGTAGGTATCTCAGGTCCGTGGGCATCTGTAGAAATCGGTCAATGATTTCAGGGTGGTAAGGGACAAATCCTCAATGGACTTAAACCATGTAGCTCAGTCTTTTCCCTTCCAGAAGAAGGGGAAGGAACTTAGTCAGCCCTTCCCTGTGTTAAGGCCAGAGGAATGTTTAGCCATGTTTATTTTTCCTCTTCCCTTAACATGAGCTAAAACAGGCAAGAAACCTCTTTCATTGCCTGAGCCTGTCTGCCTCCTTTGTGCTTAGGTTGTCACAAGCTAGTGAAATGGTAGCAGAGCAGGCATCATCAGCTGAACACACAGGATCTCAGGTGGCTGACTTGCAAATTTGCAAGAAAGCAAATAGATGAAATCTGAACTAAACTGACTTGTTAGGTCTTTTACAGGAACAGGCAGCCTGCCTGCAAAAGAAAGGGAGGCACAGAAAATGCACCAAAACCACAAGGTAAAACAACAATCCTACAAGAGAGAGACAAGCTATTTAAAAATCTGATTTGAGCTTCACAGTTAATGATGGGGGAAGATGAAGGCAGAATATGGAATGCAAGCATTCAAGAAATGGTAGAGAAAAGACCACAGAAGTTGGGAGTGGTAGGGGAAGTTTTTGAAGCAAAAGCACTAGAAGTGCTGCACGTTCCTGGAAATTAGTCAGGGATCCCTAATGGCATTCTGCTGAGGAAAAGCATGGGGTAAAGGAATTGTCCCCTGCTCTGAGGCAATTCTGTTTCTTGTCAAGGTGACATAGCCGTAGTATTTAAACAGTTCACAAACTCCACTCACCTCTTTAGCCACACTCTGTCTACCCCTTCATCACCAGAAGTTTTACCTCCTTACATCAGCTGTTCCTTTTCCCTCTACATATTACTGTTCTTGGCATGATCCTGCTTCTCCTTATAGCATAGCTAAGTGAATTCTTGATAGTCCATTGTACATCTAGCTTAGCTCCCATCCTTACTCCACAGCAGATACTAGTGCTTTCACACTGCTGCTTTTCAGCATAATTGTCTCTAGCAGTAGCTTGGGACACAGAAATAACATACGTTCCAGCTTTTTGGCAGAATGGGATCTGCCCGTTCCCAGAGTGACAGTACGGTCCCCAGCCTGCAAGTGCAGTGCTGTGTCCTCTCTGCATCTGGTCTTTAAACCTAAACTAAGGGAGAGTTAGTGCAGCAGTAAGTACATAGCAGCTAAATTGGCAGCTAAAGATGTTAAGAGGGAATCTGGTTGAAACACAAGGCAAGCCAGATGGAACCATCCCTTTACTGACAGTACGCTCGAGGTGGTTTTTTCAAAGCAACTCAAAGAATTTCTTTGTGTTTTTTGTGAGATGGCTGTGAATAATGAGGATGGAGGAAAGCAATGAAATTCCATCTAATCCCAAGGTTTTATTTTTCTTGTTTATACCACTTGTTTTCTATGCTGAATACACTTAATCTTCATAAAATAGCTGCCAAGGTATTATATCCCAAAGACGGTGGTTTTGTTTGATACTTATCTTGTGCTATGAAGTGGTTAACTGAGGAGTAATTCTATCTTGCAAGTTATGGGCATCTGTCTAGGAGAGTTAATCAATTAGCTTTCAAGGATGGTCTTGTGGTTAAAACACTGGGCTGAATCTCAGGAGAATCTTGATTCAATTTTCAGGCCTATCTCCAATTTCCTGTGTGACCTTGGGCAAGTCATTTATTTTTGCTGTGCCTCTTCCCCAGACATCTGTTTATTCCCTCCCACATTTTGTTTGTCTTGTCTATATGGATTATAAGGATTTCAGGACAAAGACCCGTTTCTCATAAGGGAGGGCATTCACACCATCTGCAACAGAATAGTTTAAGCATCTAAGTGAGGTTGTTTGAATATCTATCCTGGAATTGTTTATCTGTCTTCATTGGTCCTTGCTATTGCAGGTGAGTAAATGCTGTGAGTACCCCTAGCTTTATGAATGGTGTCTAGCATCATCCTTGTGTTACAATAATTTGCCCCACTCCTGATCAAGGACAGTCACAAACATCTTTTTTTGTATGTGTCATGCCATTGGAGACTGTTCAGGTGGGCTTTGCAGAGCAGCCAAGTGGGTTTGTGTCATAAAAAAATTTATGAGAAATTTTACTAAGGACTGCTGAGCCTCCTGAGAGGGGAGCATAAAAGTGTTGGCTTTAAAATATTAGGAAGCAAGTAATGAACTTGAGCATGCTTTTAAGAACTATGGCAGTGAACAGAGCAATGGGCTATGTCACTCATGTTTTATCTTCTACCTAGGTTGTAAATGCTCCATGGCAGTGGTTGTCTTTCCCTTGGTGTCTGTGCAGTACCTAGCACTGTTGGGCACTAGGCAATGACAGAGAAACCCCACATTGGTGCTTCTGATGAAAATAATGATTTCAGTAGCCTGTTGGTAACAACAAGAAGGATAAAGACAACTGATGGAAATTCTAAAATAACAAATCTGATATGTCTGTATACGAGTTAAGCTGTGGGAGCTAGAGGAGGAACACAAAGGGACCAACAGTGTGATGGAAGACAAACCAGTCTGGAAAAATATCTGTCAATGAACTGTGTAAGGATACAGATGGAGAAGGTGTACATCAGGGTCAGAGAAGAGAATGCTGCCAGAGTAAGGACATGAGATAGTCATGGGCAATAACTTCACATGTTTGGCTAGAGTGGAGAGGTTAGTTTTTACACCATACCCAGTTGTCACTAGACACTGTAAGCTTTACTGCACTCCAACCAATAAGAAGTCATAACACTAAAAATACCATCTTTCTGCTTAGACGGGGGACCTGGCTTCTAACATTTGAGATATGTATTCCATTTCTGTGTGCTGTATCTGTGAAATGAGACAAATCTGAACGAAAACCTCTGGTAGCACAAAGATTTGAGTGTAATGAGGTCTAATCTCTGTTAGAGTGTGGAATTGGCTGAGTTGCTGCCATTAGCTACTGTCTTTAAAATACTGAAGTGGGCTTGGAGTGTGTTAGTTTTAAAAATCTGTTCTGTATTTAGTCTTTTCACAATGTATAGAAGTGTAAAAGGGAAGAATTCATGCTCTTGCAATGCTTTTCCACTTCCTGCATGCATGTCAGCTCGATTTGGTTTCCACTCTCTCCTTGTGCCCCCAGGCTGCTCCAGCGGCTGCCCTTGCAAGGCTGTCAGTTAGAGTTAGGCTGTTCAGTACATTCCATGTGGTAGGTTGTGTTCCCTTCTGCACAACCCATGTCCCCTTTTCCTGTCTCACATAAGTGAGAACTCCCATCGTTCCTCAACACCATCATTCGCCTTTGTCAAAAAAACCTCCCGCCTTTTGTTGTTGTCATTCTCCACATGGAGATTTTCATTTCAGAGTCATAGACACCCTACCTTGAGATGGGATGGATCAGTGGTCTTCCTCCAGTGACCTGTGGGGTTAGGTCTCCTGCAGAGGAAGCCCACAAAACTTTTGGGGCTGGAGACCTAGCCTTTAGGCAGCTGATATTAGACAGAAAGACCTGCCTCCTAAGAGCCTGAAGGGCCTTCCACATAGCCTATCCTGCCCACCTTATAGAGCCATGGCAGCTGAAGCATGGGCTTTGCTGTGTGTTCCTGTGTGATGTCCCCCTCAATTTGGTCAGTTTGCTTCAGGTTTTCTTGCCAATATTTTTCCACCTCCCTTCCCATAGCACGTTTCACAAAAGACTCTTCATGAGGTTTGGAAGAAAAAAATACTGAAAATAAAACCCAAGAGAAGGCAAAAATTATCAAAATTTTCAGAAATTACCAGATTACAGATTTAGAGAGAATTGTAATGGCAACTTTGGAAATCTGCCTGTCTGTCTTACCTTCTTGCTCCCCTGATTTATTCTGTACCATTCCTGTCTTATCTGAGTACCTGACATACAAAATCAATAACAAATAGCTGAGGTTTCCATGGATGTATTTGTATTGAAATCTCAAAGGTCACATCCAGATGGGGCGATGAAGCATTGTATTAAACAACTTCTAAACTAACACTTTCCAGTCCCGGTATTTCTTCTTAGTGCAGTGCAGAACAGAGTCGTGTGTCCAAAATACTCAGAGTCAAGAAATGTTATGACACAGTCTGAATTAAATTGTTTCTCTTGGCTAATTAGTGGTGACTCTGTACCACACCAATAAGGTTATATTGCTTCTTGTTGCAGAAATAGCTGCTCTGAGAGTCACTTCATATCTGCAGCCTTGCTTGCTTCTCAAGAGAGCTAGGAGCCAGGGGAGTTAGGTCCTTACCATTACCTGCTCTTGCAAGCCTGGTTGCTTCCTTTGTGGGTACAGCCTCAAAGATCTTGTCCTTATGAGAGGGTTTCAGCCTAGTGAATCAGATTCTCAGTGGGAACTGATTGCATTAGAAAATTGTAGCAAAGTCCTCACAACAGAACCAGGACAGTGGCTGTGTATTTCTAAGGGTGGCTGGATGCAGTGATTAGGGAATAATATATATATATTTCTAAGTGTGTTTCTAAGCCTGTAGAAATAGGAGCGTGCACTTCATGTTGTGTTTGCTTTTTATTTTTATTTCCCCTTTCGCCATAGCCCTATTGCTCCCTTCATCTTCACCTGAAGGTCTCAGAGAATCCCTATACCTCAGGAAACATCGCCAGCCGAGACACTGCCCCCAGTATTATTGTAGCTTCAGGTATGAAACATTTATGTTTGTGTATGATGTGCAAACACTGACAAAATCTTGAGTTTGTGATGGGTGTGGAGGGTGTTGAGTGGCATGTCACACCACCAGTAGCAGGAAGGCAGGCAGGCTGTCAAATGGACCTTATGGACCTTCAGCTTGTCATATGTTTTTTATGGAAACTGACCTTCAAGACCAAGAAGATCACTTGTAGTCCTCTACTCCCATGAACACTGGATTCAAACCAGGACATTTCCTTTGCATATGAAGGTGTGTAGAGCTGTATGCATTGGATCTTTTATATATATTTTCTGCAAACTGAAAGTCTTTCCTTTCTCTTCCCTTCTCTTTCCTTTCCTTTCCTTCCCTTCCCTTCCCTTCCCCTTCTTTCTCTTCCCAAAACTAAAAGTTCTGTAATTGCAAAAAGTAAATAAATACACTCACTCCCCTGATTTGATAATTCTGCTGTTTCTTAGAGTGTTGCATCTCTAATCAATGCTCATCTTACAGGCAATATAGGCACTGAACTATCAGACAATGACATCAGCATGTTTGTTTCTTCTGATGCTGGGAACACTTGGAGACAGGCAAGTGACACAGAATCACAGGTTTAAATAGTAATCGTAGGAAATTGTAATACAATTAGATTCAGAATGTTGCTTAATTTCTGTTTCTTTTGGTTCAGAGTAGCTTTTGTAAATCTACACAAAAAGGAAAACTTTTATTCCCTTCTGAGAGGTAGAGAGATGCCCAAAGAAAAAGACTGAATATGCCATTAGACTTCGTATAACAGAAAATTATTTTTATAATTCTACTCAGAATTTGACTTCAGTTTAACCCTGTAGCAAAGTGTAGAACAGATTAAAATATTAATATATATGGGAAGAGTATGTGTTTCCTTTTACTGTTGTACAGCCCTTGCACCAATCAAACCATTTTTCTCTACATTATTATAATTTCCAGAGAATTAGCAGTTGCACTAGTCTACTTCTCCCTCACTATGTGTGAGACTCATTTCACCTATGTTGAGTTGTCCAAAGTCCAGTGTCCATGTAAACTGATAATTTTGCCTTGCTCTTAAGTTAATGGAGAAAAAGACAGAATTCAGTTCATCCTGCTCTGAAGCTACCTATCTCTCCATTAATTGCTGAAAGAGACTGGGTGATGAAGTTAAATCAAGTGCCTAATATTTAGTGAAATCCCACCTATTAACAAAGCATTGCTACTCTTTAACATGTTTATCCTCAGAACAGGAAGTTGTTTTTCCTATTTTCTGGATAGGATATCAAGTCATGGAGGGAAGGAGTAACTTACCCAGACTGACAAGTGCTGCTATATAAACTGCAGAGCAGATGTTTGCGGAAAGCCAATACAAAAAAGACACAGGAAAAGAAATCTTTTTTAAATATTTGATATTATAAGAATCTAATTATTTTATAATGTTTGACCAGCCCTCATTTTTCTGTCTACATCACTTATGTGTGATAGGGCCAGATAAGTGCAAACATATAAAGTTCTTCTTTAAACAAAAATCTGTCATCAAAAGGAAGGAAATTGTTGATCCTTGCAAAAATTCATATTTCTAACTTTCTATTAAGCAGAGGCAGAATGCGTTTTCCAAAGACCTGGGAAAAGTTTAAAAAAAAAAACCCAACCCAACCCAATAAAAAACAAAACCCAAGAACTGTCTCTATACAGAATGCCTTCCTCTATTCAGTAACTTCCTTAGCACATACCTGTCCTCTGTCATGATTGTACTTAAACTATGACATTTTCTTGGTACTAAGGAAAATAGATTCAAATATACGCTTTTTTTTTCCAGATCTTTGAGGAAGAGCACAGTGTTCTGTACCTGGATCAAGGTGGAGTACTGGTCGCCATGAAACACACATCTCTGCCTATCAGACATCTCTGGTAATGACTCTATTCTAAATGTCTGCTGTCTCTCTTTTCAGATGCCAGGAAGTAGACAGTTAGGTGGCATCCAGAGTTTTCTGTACCTACAATCTAGAAAATATCAGTTAAGATACTGGCAAACATTAACTCAGATAAAGCTAAGAAATCCTGGCAATTCCAGCTTACATAGCTTCAGTTTGGCCTGATCTGAGATAATGTAATTCCAGGACTTTCCTGGTTTACCACAACTGGGCTTCTTGGGTTTGGTTATCTATGTAATATGAATCTGGATTATGGCTTTGTCTCTTATTAAGTTGCCAAAGTACTCTTCATTTTCAAAATTATTGATGAACTTGTCTTCTGTGTGGCAGGCAGCACTTATGAACCAGAATTTTGTTGAATAGACTCAAGGTTATATAGCAAATAAGGCAAAAGTGTGTTCACTAGTTAGCACTCTTGAGTTTATGTGGTAAGTAGAATATAGTTTTGTGAGGTTTTGCATGATTTACTTCCACTACAGTCAGTGTCATATCCATATCTGAAACACACAGACCCAAGTCTTAGGAAGTGGTGAGTGGTTCCAAGCTTTCACTTGGACCCACCACAGGGAAGACTGCTGGTCAGAAGAGGCAAAGCTCTTGGGCTCCAGAAATCTAATCTTAAAATGTCTTATGTTGGGGACCAAAAATAAGATGCTCAAAATCACTTATTTATTTAAAAAAAATCCCAGCCCTAGGGTACATTGTTGCTGTTAAAGCATCAATCTCTAACACAACTTTATTAGTTTCCACCGCTTAAGTATTGGCCATGGGTTAGCAGTATGATGCCAAACAAGTTTGATCAATGCTCTGATTTGTGATGCTTCCCAAAAAAGTAGTTATCTAAAGGACTAAAAATGCAGTATCCAAGAACAGAAGCTGCTTCCTACTCCTCCATAGCAGCTGTAGTGGACTAGAGAGTCTTTTCAAGTAGGAGGAGAGTAAGGAAAGAAGATACTAATTATGCTTTCTCCACTAGGTTAAGTTTTGATGAAGGGAGATCTTGGAGCAAGTACAGTTTTACATCCCTCCCACTGTTTGTTGATGGAGTATTAGGGGAACCTGGAGAGGAAACTCTCATCATGACGTAAGTGAGCATACCATCATGCTAATGTTGATGGGAACTACGCTGAAAATAGCTTATGAGGGTTGTTCGTAACATAACAGCATTTCTGGTTGGGGACCAAACCAAGTGCTGTCTGAAGCCAGGAGTATGCAGTTTTCTGTTGCTAAATCTTCAGTGTTTATTTGTGATATGATTGAGGGAATGACAACATGGTTCCTTGCAAGCTGCAAAAACACTATCACTTAGCTTATCAGCATGAAACCTGACTCCTCAAATTGAATGTGATTTAAAGCAGAGTTACTCTTGACAGATATTTGAAAGAAAAATGGTGGGGTGTTTTTATAGCTGTGTTTTGCTGCTACTTTTTTTTTTTTTTTTTAAACTGAGATGCAGAAAAATGAAGACATTCTTTTGTAAAAATGAATGACAAAATGTTGCCTGGAGGCTGACTCATGAAAAATTATGATTAGTTTCATTGTGGTATGCTGAGCTCTGCATGGCACATAAATCTGGATTCACCCTGCCAGAAATTGTGACATTTTACTTGAGATCAGATTTGCAAAAACAGGAGGAAAATTCAGTTTCTGTCTGTAAAAAATGGGCTGACCTGTAATAAACAGAATATGTGGCTTGGAAACTAACCTGAGCTAATAGAGGAATGTATGAAGAATGATCCCTTCAGGTTCTGATTTTAATTCATGTGGAAGGGATTCCCAAAGCTCATAATTGAGGTATCAAACTCCTGTAGGTATAACCGTCTCCAGCCCCATGTCAGGTCTTCTCTGTATAGTCATGTTGGGGATTGGCATAAGTGGGAGGATCTTCATCCACAGAATAAAAGCTTCATGCAATTTTAAGAGAGTTGTAAGTATTTAGGAGCTTAAGTCTGATTTTCACTATGTCAGTCAAGTGAAAATGAGTAGGACTGGCACTCCTAAAGCAATTAATCTGTGTTAGAAATTTGTGGGTGACTGTACCTCTGTAACTACCAGACTCCATCTGGTACTACCTTTTACTGTATGCTCTTTCTGCTGTATTCTGTAGAGTGTTTGGACATTTCAGCCACCGCTCAGAGTGGCAGCTGGTGAAAGTAGACTACAAGTCCATTTTTGATCGGAGGTGCGCAGAAGAGGACTACAGGCCTTGGCAACTCCACAACCAGGTGAGAAGCAAGGAGGCTGGGATCTGACCTGAAGTAGCTAATGATCCTACAGTTAAAAATCAGCATGATCCAATGTCTTTTCCTGTTAGGTTGGTGTATCAGATTGTCCCTTACTGGATGGGTCTGTTTTATTAAGTAGGCGTGTTGGCCTCAGATTGTACTCTGTGAGCCCCAAAGGATGAAGAGCTGCCTTTTGGGTTTCATTCTCCATGCAGGCAATTATCTCAGACTTATCCAGATGTGAGGAATGCAACAACAACAGAAGCATTGCTGCCAAAAGAGGCCTGAACTACTTCAGTCTTACATCTCCCATCCAATTACCCTGTCCTTACCTCCTTTCTCTTCCTCCATCCTTCTGTGTCCTCAGAGCCAGTGTCTTAAGTCCCTTCTAGTTGCTTTCACACTTGTTTCTCCAAATTCCTGCCCTCTTAGCCTCATTTCTTACTCACTTTGTTTCATCCGTGTTCTGTCTCCCTCAGCAGTGGTATTTCTGCTGTGGGAGTTGGGCACTTTATTCCTCAATCCATTAGGCCCCCATGCCCTGTCCCTTGCATCCTGGATGCAGCTGCTGCATCACTCCTGGAACTATTGCTTAAGCGCCCAGCAAAGTAACGTGATCCGCGCAGTGCCTGTGCCTGCCTTGGGGCACCTTCCGCACTCTGCCAAGTTTGACACAACAGCCTGTGTTATATCAGGTTAGAATAAAATATGGCCCAAATTCTGTGGTTATATAAACTGCACAGGCTCCACTGAAGTCTGAAGCGAAAACACCCATTTACGTCATCAAAGGTTGTCTTTCTGTATATATCTTGCTGGGCAAGAATTTAGTAATGAATATGAAATGAAAGTAGCTTGACTCAGACTAGCTGCTCACACAAGGCACAACTCCACACTAAAGATACTGGTTATGACTTTAGATCCTTAGATGTTGAAAATCAGTACAGCTTCCTTGAAATTCAAGGAGGCACAGCATTTTACACCAGTTGCCATTCAGGCCCTTCTATTTCATGGGCAAATCAAAGCCATGAAAAGTTTCCCTTTCCTACAGCGATTTTAACAGCATAAAAGGTAACAAGTGAGACCCCACTGTATTTTATTCTTTACTTTCTTGTGCTTGCATAAGCAAAAATGCCAAGGATTTTGCAGTATATCTTTGAGGATGTTGGCTTTGGAGCTTGCAGAACTATTTTTAGAAAGGCTGCTGTGGACTCTTGCCTTTTGATTTGCTTTCCATTGCGATTACAATGCTGAGCCTTGTTCTCTAGATAAAGATATTTAGCAGGGTGCTGAAGATAGGAGTGAAAAGACAAGGAAATGTTATCATCTGCATAACAAGTCAAACCCTGTAAAACGTGAACTCATAGTCTGTGGAAAGTATTCACATACACACGTATTACTGGTTTCCACTGAACAAAATTATTGCCAAAGAGATCAGACCAAAGAAATAGACCTGCTCTCAGATCGCAGAGGGATCAGACTGTGTTTTCAGTTGCTGTGAAACCTAGTCTATAAATGAGAAACAGGCCTGAATCAATTGCTCATTGGCTTTGGAACAAATTCAGAACTGAATCAGATACATAAGTAACCTCAGATCATTTCTTAGTGTGTATTGGAAAAGCTGTTTTAGTTTCAGTTAAAGCTTCAGTAACTTTAATTATCTTCAGTGTACTGACATGGCATTTGACTTCCCATCTTCTTCTCTTGAGTCACAGCTCCCATTGCACAGGCTTGGAAAAATTGGGTGATACAAATAGCCTGGTGGGTGTCAGAGAGAGATATTTTTGGTTTTGTTTCCAGGGAGAAGCTTGCATCATGGGAGCAAAAAGAATCTACAGGAAGCGCAAGTCAGAGAAGAAATGCATGCAAGGAAAATATGCTGGGGCTATGACCTCGGAGCCATGCGTGTGCACAGAGGCAGACTTTGACTGGTGAGCAATGGGCACAAGAACTGTGTGCTCCCTACCACACCAATGCAGAGCTCACTAGAGAGGCTGTAGGCTTGCAGAGAGTAGATATTAATAAACAAGTAAGTGGCTAAATAGGTTACTCCCTGATAGTGCAGGTATGTCAAAAGAAAGAAAGGTGGAATAGATATCTGCAATCTGCTAAGGCTCCCACAAAATTGATGCTGAACAGACCATTTTCCAGATGACATCTGAACTCTGTGCAGCATTAAGATAAAAAGTCCATTTAGCGCATCTAACCTCAGCAATGACCAGGGGTGGCTGTGAAAGTAGTATGTGAGACATACATAGTGTGCGTAAAAAAATAAATAAATTATTTACACATACACACACACTTACATGTATATATGTGTAAAAGTAAATACATGCATATGCAAAGTAGGCTTTCAGATTCTGGAATCAAATATCTAGGGAATTCCTGGGTCATTTGTTATATCTGGACCATCATGTTTGATAGTATCTTACAGACACTGCCTTCATGATTTGGGTTAATCTCCTTCTGAAGCCTTTTCTCCTCTGCTGTATGCTATAGGAAATAGAGTCCATTGGTGAGTTATGAATGACATGATAAAATGTTTAGCTTCTAGTTTCATTTCAAGATTCCTGCT